ACAATTCGGTTCGTTTAATTTTTTGAGATTATACTTTATTACATTATCTCTTGTTCAATGTTATAACATTTAAATTTTTGTAGAATTGAATACCATCTAGATGCAGAGTTGAGAATGACAATCCTTAAGATTAGGACTCTCGATTTTAGTCATTATCTTTATTTTTTCCATGCAATCCATGCTAGTCCGTTCCAGCTACATCATCCGATTGGTTTCAAAAAGGTCATAATCATTTGAAATTGGTCCATTTTATATTTTGAGAGCGTTCAATTTAGTCCTCAATAAAAAAGTTAAATTTCATCGAAACTTATGATTTTTTGATGATTACTCTCTTAATACTTCTTATAACTCAAGTATATTCTGTTGAGTCTTTATACCAACTCCAAAATTAGCTCAAAATCTCCCTTTTTCGTGCAATTGCATCCAAATTCGATTTTTTCCTATAATTAACAAAATTAGGACGGAATTCTCTCAATTAGCCATAATTTATAATTTGTAAAAGTACAAAATAAAAATACCCTCAAACTTAAAACCCTTATTCGTCGGGAGCAAGATTATCTACATAACACACAAGCGAACAAATGAAAATATAATTGCACTACATAATTGTGTCAAACTCCGCATCAAGTATTGAACTTATGTGATAATTCATAAAAGGTTCTTAGGTAATGTTACAAAATTATTCTATACTTATTAAATGCTCAATCTAAATATGTATACATAGTTAATCTAATCACCGTGGACCTTTAGGTTAATTACTTTCTTGACTCTCAATAGTCAAATAATTCATTTCTCTCTCGTGGGATACACACATTCAATCTTATTATTTAATATCTTATATGGGATGTCTATTCTAAGGTGATTTCATAACACCCAAGCTTGAGTTTGATTGGGTTTCACCAATTAAAGTATAACTCTATATCTGATAATTCTTACTAAATTTGAATTTCCCATTTTCCAAACGTTAACTAGGATAATGACTTCACTAGAAGTCTAAATTCACAATTAAATATCCAAAAGCTTAGCCGGACGGAAAATAATGCATATAGTTATTTTGTCACTGCTTAACACTTTGATGCCCTTTTTTTCGATAATTTTTACTCCATATTGCATGCAGCTCTCTTTTTCAAAAAGATCATATTGTAAACATTGGTTAATAGTAGGTCTGATTACACAATGCTAGCTTCAAAATAAAAAAATAAAAAAAATCACTATTTCAAAATACATTTTTTT